TAGTAGCGATGCCCTTGCTCCTAGTAGCTTCTTGTTCCTGGTAGTAAAGCCAGGAGCCCCTAGTAGCGTCCTTACTCCTAGTAGCGATGCCCTTGCTCCTAGTAGTTTTTTGTTTTTTGGTTCGTAAGGCCAGGAGCCCCTAGTAGAGTCCTTGCTCCTAGTAGCGACGCCCTTGCTCCTAGTAGTTTCTTGTTCCTGGTGGTAAGGCCAGGAGCCCCTAGTAGCGTCCTTGCTCCTAGTAGCGATGCCCTTGCTCCTAGTAGTTGCTTGTTCCTGGTAGTAAGGCCAGGAGCCCCTAGTAGCGTCCTTGCTCCTAGTAGCGATGCCCTTGCTCCTAGTAGCTTCTTGTTCCTGGTAGTAAGGCCAGGAGCCCCTGGTAGCGTCCTTGCTCCTAGTAGCGATGCCCTTGCTCCTAGTAGCTTCTTGTTCCTGGTAGTAAGGTTAGGGGCCCCTAGTAGCGTCCTTGCTCCTCGTAGCGATGCCCTTGCTCCTAGTAGCTTCTTGCATGTTCCTGGTGGTAAAGCCAGGAGCCCCTAGTAGCGTCCTTGCTCCTAGTAGCGATGCCCTTGCTCCTAGTAGTTTCTTGTTTTTGGTAGTAAGGCCAGGAGCCACTAGTAGAGTCCTTGCTCCTAGTAGCGATGCCCTTGCTCCAAGTAGTTTCTTGTTCCTGGTAGTAAGGCCAGGAGCCCCTAGTAGTGTCCTTGCTCCTATTAGCGATGCCCTTGCTCCTAGTAGCTTCTTGTTCCTGGTAGTAAGGCCAGGAGCCGCTGGTAGCGTCCTTGCTCCTAGTAGCGATGCCCTCCTAGTAGTTCTTGTTCCTGGTAGAAGGCCAGGAGCCCCTAGTAGCGTCCTTGCTCCTCGTAGCGATGCCCTTGCTCCTAGTAGCTTCTTGTTCCTGGTAGTAAAGCCAGGAGCCCCTAGTAGCGTCCGTGCTCCTAGTAGCGATGCCCTTGCTCCTACTGCGTGGGTCCTTTTAGTTAGACTACTTATAACTTTAGTTAATGAACTACAAGTTAACTTGTAGTTCCATAACTTAACTTGTAGTTCAATAAGTGAGAATAAGTACGCGTATCTATACTATGATTTTTGATTTAGTTATAAGTAAGTTACTCTTGAAGAAGTTAGATATATGTAAGTTATAATTTCATCCAAATTAGTTATATGTAAGATATATCTTAGTTAGAACTAGTTAGAACTACTTAGATTGAAGTTACAACTAGTTAGTAAAGTCGTTTTAGCATAGTTTTTATCGAAATTTTATATATTTGTGAAGTTTCGTAGTTTTTGGCCCGAGCAGATCCTTGAGAGCGACCATGTCCGCGGAGGGCGAAGGCGCGGCTATCACGGCCGCGAAGGCCAAGGCCCGGCGAGCGCAGCAAGACTATTCCCGGTTCGACGGTTTTCTACTCGAAGAGGATTGGTCGGGGTTGGAACGCTGTGGATCCAATCGGGATAGGTGTGCCCTGCTAAGCGACATCTTACACACTCGGCTGCAGCTGCGCTTGCCGACCGAACAAACTTTCGCAACCGCGGTCAGCGTTGTGCAGTGCACAGACCAACTTGGGATCCTTGTTTTGTTATAACTAGTTAACATAATTATGATCACTTATGTTCATTTAGCAACTAGTTACAACTATGTGTTAACTAAGTATAACTAGGTTTTAACTATGTATAACTAGTGTTAATTTTTAACATATGTTAAGTTAGTTAGTAACTTTCTGATGAAGTTATG